TATACATGTATTTACATATACATATATACATATATTTACATATACATATATTTACATATACATATATACATATATTGTTGTTTAATGCCGTCGAGTCGTAGACGACTCATAGCGACCCTATGAACAAACAGCCTGAGTACTGTTCGTACATAGAGTTTCCGGAGACAAGTCATTTTGGAAGTGGGTGCCGCTCCTGCTTCCAGGCTTGGTTTAGTCGAGAAGCTATATGCACTTAAAAAAAAAAACAGAAAAAAGAACCATAAGCACGGTCCCACTGATGTAGATGTTTCTAAAGACCTGGTTAGGGACAGATTTCACTCAACATATATAATTAAATTATATATATAATTTTGGGTTTTTTACAAGTCTGAAGGGTAAAGGTCCAAATCAGTGTCTTGGGTATTCACTTCCTCCTCGTCCCAGCCTTCCTTGGTCATCCTCTTATGCCATCTGTCTTCTGCAATTTGGGCTCCTTCTTGTGTTTATAACTCAGAAGCTTTTAGGTCTAGGACCCACTAATATAGCCTCACTAATCATCGTGCTGAAAGAGAAAAAAACCAACCCACCAACCCCACCCCACCCCCAACAAAACCCCAAGTCGATCCCGATAGTTCAATCAGTATGTTCCTAAGAGACAAAGACTAATGACATTTGGTCTCATATACTTTCAGAATGCTCTTAGGAGGGGTCAGTCCTTGGAGAAGGACATCATGCTTGGAAAGGTGGAAAGCCAGTGAAGGAGAGGAAGACCCTTTAATCAAATGGATTGATACAGTGACCCTAATATTAGGTTCAAGTGTGTCAGGGATGAGGACCGCGCAGGACAGAGCGTTGTTCATTAGGTTGCTGTGAGTCACAGTTGATTGGAGGGCACTTAAAAAGAACAGGAACGGTGACATTGAAAAAGAACTGTCGTCACCTCCAGACGCCGCAGGGATAGATGCCACTGGAAGTGACACAGTTGGGCAGTGAGGAGTCAGGCAGGGCTGGATGTGACAGTGAGGGGTTGAATGGGACAGACAGGACGGGGCGGTGACAGGCTTGGGGAAAGAGATGGGGCTGGAAGTAACAGATTCGCTCCATCAAAAGATAAAGTGTATCTGAATGAGAAATAGGAGCCTGGAGACTCCTGACAAACACCAGAGCCTTCAGAAAGTCACCCAGGGTGAGTGCTGTGTGTTGGGGGGGGGGGGCCCCTGCCAAGGCCTGGCTACTTTTGGATGGAGCCAGAGAAGACCCAGTGCTGCTGGATGTAGCTAAGAATTTTATTTCCATATGGTACAGAGTGGGGTCTGGGGGCGTCCTTGCCCCTGGTCTAGAGCTGCTGGGAGGGTTTGAAGACATACAGGAAGCGGGTCTTGCGTGAGGGTAGCCTGGGCGGTGTGGGATCCTGGGGGTCCTTTTCAGGAGAGTCGTCCTGGGCCCCCTCGCGCAGCCTTTCCCTGATGGCCTGCAGCCGGTGGCGCTTCTCGGTGAGCCGGGGGTTGACCTTGTACACCTCTGAGGGCGAGTGATGTTGGGGCAGCTTCACGATCCAGAAGACCATTCGGGGACGGGGCTCCACGGGGAAGCTGTTGACAGCCTTCTGGACAGGCCGCAGGACCTCCTTCTTCACCTTGGGCTCCTGGGATGGGGGTGAGAAAAAGTGACCGGACAGAACTGGGCAAGGAACCCTGCTGGTGTCATAGGGTAAGCGCTGGGCTGCTAACGTCAAGGTCAGCAGTTCGGATCCCACCTACCATTCTCAGAGAGCGAGAAAGATGGGCAGTCTTCTCGCTTTAAAACTTAAAGCTCAAAAAAAATTAAGAAAACCAAACTTACAGCTCTTTTAAGGGGAGCTCTGGTGGCCTAGTGGCAAGAAGCTACACTGCAATCCCAGAGATATGCAGTTCGAATCCACCAGATGCTCTGCTGGAGAAGGAGGGACAATCTCCTCCTGTACCAGTCAGATCCGATTTGACGGTACACATACACAC